AGACCAGGAGACAGCCGCAGCAAGCAGACAGGACACACACAGGCCGGGAGACAGCCGCAGCCACAGCCAAGGCAGCCCCAGAGGGCACATGTGTGGGCCAGGGTGGTCGCGAGCTCAGAGAGCTCAAGGGGTTGGGAATCCCCCAAAGGGCCTGGGGCTGCTGGCCACAGGAAAGCCCAGCTAACTGGGGCCAAGAGAGAGCCAGGCCTGAGTCCTCCAGGGAAGCACCTCCATCCAAGCTGCCCCGGGAGGGGGCTCCTGTGGCTCCGGGGGCCCTGAGCCCAAGAGCAAAGGCAGGCCGGGGGCAGAGGATGGCAGTAAGACTCTGGGAGAAAAGTGCTGCCATCACCTCTCCCTCGACTTCCCCACATAGCACAACCTAGTGGGAAGGGGGCCAGGAGCCCCTCGCACGAGGCTGTTTCCTGCCAGCCCAGCCCCCACGCCTGGCTCCCTGCCCAGCCTCAGCACCCAAAGATCTGGGCAGTCTACAAGAAAGCGGTCAGAGGCGAAGCGCAGGCTTGAACCCCAGCCCTGTCCCGTGCCACCTTCTCTGAAGGGCCCTCGTGGTGCCGTGGGCCCCACAGGGGCTGCAGGACAGGCCCTGGCGCAGCCCCCAAAGCCCTGGGACCCTGTGGATGCGTCCCTCCCACGCTCACTGCCCCTCAGCCCAGGGACCCTCAGGGGGGCACACCGGGGCGTGAGGGGTCTGCTGGCACCCGGTGAACTCGGCAGCCGTGTGAACCATCGATGCATCTTTAATTCACAAATAAAACTGTAGCAAGATGTCATCTACACATTTGTACAAAGGTTCAGACGTCCTGTATGAGGCACAACCCTCAGAAAACATGAGCCTGTCATGCGGGGAACGTCGCCAATGCTCACCCCTCATCTGCATTTGGCAAGAAGCGCCTCCCAAGGCCCCCCACCCTGCCCAGGGTGCCTCCCGAAGCGGCCGGCCTCCCGCAGCTGGAGAGAGCCCGGCCCCCAGGACACCTTCCCTAGAAAACCATAAAAACATAGATCATTTGTCTTCAAATTCCCACGGCAAATTCCGTATTTATGGGAAAAATGATATAAAAATATGAACGTAACAGAACCTTTACAAAACCCTTAGCCCCCCATGTCTGCTGTTGATCGTGGTGGTCTGTTTTGTTTTTTTGCTTGTGGTTTTGGTAAAAATTCCTGCCGTGGAAGAGGCCACTTGTGCCTGTGGCTCAGCCCTTGTTAGCTGCTCTCCGGACAGAGCAGGTTCCCGGGAAGGGAGGGGACCTAAGGGTCAGCTGTCCCTGCCCGGGAGACCCCGGGATGGATCTGCACTGGGAACCCCACACAGATCCCCACAACCCAGGCTCTGCCGAGGAAACCTTTGTAAAAAAAGTCATCCTGAATCCTGAAAGGCTCCGGGGCACGCAGGTAAGTCCCGCTCCACGAAACCGTTGGCTGCAAAGAAGGCAAGATGGGCGCAAACACGACCCATGCCAGCCCTGGCCCAGAAAGACGCAGCGGGGCCGGGCTGAGCACAGCTGCTGGTGTCTCGAGTCTGTAGCACCAAATGCAAAAGGGAGGGAAGTCCAAATCAAGGTCAAAGGCACTTGCGCTGCTGCTGGGTGGCGGTGGTCCTCTGGTCTCTCTGGCACCCTTGCTCTTTCCACACGTGGCCGCCCTCCCTCCGCCACACCCCGTCTCCACTCCAAGACCCCCGTCCTGCACAGAAACCCCTCTGCACGCTCCTCCCACAGCCCCCACCACATCCTCGCTCTGTCCCACGTCCTGTCCTCCGGCCCCTCATGTCCCGGCCTCTTGACCGGTGCCCAGCCTCAGACGTCCACCTCCTGCGGCCCGGGGACGGCAGCCGCGGCCGCAACACTGATGTCGAAGCAGGTGACCATCATGACATGCGCCTTGCACAGGTTCACGCACTGCTCCAGGGCAGCCGTGGCGCGCTCCAGGGCCGCCAGGTACTCGGCTGACTCAGGCTCCAGCTCTGGGTCCACCTCGACTGAGAATGGGAGGGAAGAGGAGGGGCACTGGGGTTAGGCCCCAGGCTGGGGGCAGCCACCTGTCCCCCTATAAGCCCCAGGAAAGGCATCTTGGCCCGGCCTACCCTGCCTCCCAGCCTTCCCACCACGAGGTACAGGAGAGCAACGGGGCTCAGGGAGGGGAGGGCAGGCTTCAGGGCACACAGTGGGCCAGGGAGCTGCGGCAGGCTGGGTCTGCAGGCGGGCGGGACTCACACTGCGCCAGCCAGCGGCCAGGCTCCAGCATCAGCCGGCCCTGGGTCTCAGCCAGCTCCTCACACAGCTGTTCGTGCTTGGCCTGCACCTCCCGCAGCCGCTGCTGCCTGCGCTCCACCAGCCGCAGCCTTGTGCTGACGCATGCCAGACCCTGAGAGGCGGGGTGGGTGGGGGGCTCAGGCACAGGACCCTCTCCCCAGGGGCCCCAGCAGCCTTGTACTGACACATGCCAGACCCTGGGAGGTGGGACAGGTGGGGGGCTCGAGCACGGGACCCTCTCCCCAGGGACCCCAGCAGCCTTGTACTGACGCACGCCAGACTCTGGGAGGTGGGACAGGTAGGGGGCTCAGGCACAGGACTCTCTCCCCAGGGGCCCCAGCAGCCTTGTACTGACACATGCCAGACCCTGGGAGGTGGGACAGGTGGGGGGCTCAGGCATGGGACCCTCTCCCAAGGGGCCCCAGCAGCCCTGCTATGACCCCCTGCCTCCCTTCGCCCACCAGGCCTCAGCAGGCACAAAGTGGGGGTACCAAGGGCGGGCAGGGGCGGACCTGGGGCAGCCCACCCATGCCTGTCTGGGTCCTGGCACGGCTCTAGGACCACCCTCCCCACGACTGGGGAGAATTCCAGCAGACAGTAGCAGTGGCAGGACCCCCAGCCACCCACCCACCCGCTGCCCAAAGGAAGTGTCGGGGTTGCCACAGGCTGGGGCTGGGCAGGGCCGCACCTACCTTCACCTCCTGGGAGGGCTGTGGACAGAAAATGAGGTCAAGGGCTGCCTGGCTGCACCCCCAGAGGCCTGACAAGCCCACCAGATGACCCTGGCCAGGCCTCCCCACCGGGGCTCATAGACCACAGCCCACCTCAAGCCCTACCTGGGAGGGGGCCTCCCTCGGGGTGGGGCGGGGCCGCTGCAGGCGCTCCACGTCATCAATCTCGTACACCTTGATCTCGAACGGCTCCTTTAAGGAGCCGGCCAGCGGCGGAGGCAGGTCCACCCACTGCCCGGGGAGGCTGGGCTTGCGGCCCGGGGCAGCGGCGTCGGGCAGTGGGGCAGGAATGAGGCGCCGCCGCTGCAGACCTGGAACGGAGGGCCGGGCATGGGTGAGCACAGCCTCTGCAGGGGCTGAGGAGCCAGCCGGAGTCCCAACCGCGAGCGCTTAGGGGTCTGGTCCAGGAATCCTCAGCCCGGTGCTCTGCCCAGGGCAGCAAGGGAGCCAACCCCAAGCCAGGCCCACAGCTCTCAAGGGCACCCCCACCCCCACGAGGGCCCCCACTCTTCCTGCCGTGACCTAAGCAGTTCTGTCCCTTGAGGCAGCCCTGGCGGGGGCCTTCCAAACATCTAGACACTCACCTGGGAGGCACCAGGCCCAGGACCCAACCCCAAGTCCAGAGCCCCAGCCTGGCGTCCCTGTGTTCACCCTGACACAGACCAGGATCAGCCCCTGGAGCAGGGTGGGGCCACAGAAGGGCGAGTGCAGGGTGTTTATACTCTAGAGGGCTGTGCCTCGCCCGTCCACACACAGAAGCCTCAGGCCAGTCTGTCAACCACCCAGGCCTGTGTGCGTCTGGGTCCTTGAAGGCCATGCCCACGTGTCCACACCTCCCTGCTCCGTAGACGGTACAGGGCTGTGCACCTCTGCACCCACCTGTGGCCCTCTTCTTGGGGGACTTGAGGCTGCGGGTGCGGGCGCCCGGGGAGGCAGCCCCACTCTCGCTCATGGAGTCCGGGGCGGAGGACGCGCTGCCAGTGGCCTCACTGTCACGCCGCAGGCTCTCGTAGCCGCTGCTGCCACCGCTGTGGTGGAAGAGGGCGGTGCGGCCCATGGCGGGGGGCAGCTCCCCGCTCAGCACGCTGCTGTTGTCGCTGCCATGGCCGCTGCTGTAGCGCTGGGGCCGCCGCGGGGCAGTCACCTTGCTGTAGGGGGAGGGCAGGGCCGGGCCCGCAGGAGGCCGCTCCTCCCCTACGTTCACACCGCTGTCGTGGCCGCTGTCCGAGTCCGTCGAGCCCCACGAGGGGCCGCCTCGTCCCGGGGCCCCACTGGCCGACAGCTCGTGGACACGGCTGTGAGCGGCCCAGAGCGCCTGCTTGGTGCCCATGATGGTGCCCCGGCCGGCCTTGGCCCCGACGCTGGGCCCGGCCCGTGGGACCGCTCTGGGACCTGCCACAGGGGCACCGGGACTCCTGCCCGCCACAGAGGCTGCCGACAGCTTCACTGAAGACCCCAGAGCCCGAGACCCACCAGCCACCAGGCTACGGCCCTTGCCCCCACCAGCAGGGGGTTTGGGGGCCCCCACAGCCTTGGCCACGCTGCTCCTACAGGCAGGAGCTGGACCGTGCGTGGGGCTGGAGGGTGGCACACCAAGCTTGGGTACGGCCCGGGGAGGCCGCCCAGGGGCCTCCCTGCCCTTGCTGCTGCTGCTGTGTGCCAGGCCATCGTACCGCTCCAGAGACGCGTGGCCGGCAGGACGGTGCGCGGTGTCTACCTTGCCGGCCCGGGCCCTCAGGCTGGACGTGGCCCTGAAGACAGCATGGTCAGCCCGGCCGCTGGGCCTGGACTCCTCCTCCCCGCGAAGGATGGCAGCAGCTCCGGCTCGCACCAGGCTCACGGCGTGGGGAGGGGCCGAGGCCGGGCTGCTCCTGGGCTCCAGGCTGGACTTTCGAGTGGGAGGGGCCGGGGGGGCCGCGCCGCCGGGCCTCGGGAAGAAGCCCGCCTTGGGGGCCACACTCTTCTTGCTGGTGGGGGAGGCCTTCAGGCTGCCGGAGCAGGCCACCACCTCCGCCAGAGCGTCCCCACAGGACACAGCTGGTGTTGTCACACCCAGCGTGGTGGCACCCCTCCGCAGCGGTGGGATCTGAGCCACGGCCTCTGGCCTGTGGGCAGCCCTGGCTGCCACCTCACACCCGTCCACCACCCTCTGGGCACAGGCTAGCATGGCCTGGGCCTCAGACAGCCGGGGGGAGCCCGGGGTGGGGCTGGGGTCCCTGCCAGCAGAAGCTGCCTGGGTGTCACACTCTCCCGCCCGGAGCAGCCACGGGTCCTCAAAGAGGCCCCCACGGCCAGGTGGGCTCTGGCCCAGGCGAGTGCAGCCCACGCGGCTGGCGGCACAGGCAGACCTCAGTTTCCGAGGAAGGCTGGAGTGGATGGTCTGTGCTGTGGACGCCGCCCGAGAGGGCCCGGCCTGGGGCTCCCTGCCGGGTCGGGATGGGGCCACCGCTTCCACCTCCCCAGGGCATCGACCCCAGGCTGGCCCGGGACTGTCAGGCCTGTCCAGCTCTAATAACCCGGAGCTGCCGTCCCCCAAGGAACCATGCAGGGCAGGGGGGGCCCCAGGGTCGGGCCCTGCCAGTGAGTCGGGGCTGAAGGGGGGCTGTGGTGTGGGTCCACGGCTGTCGGCAGTGCAGACGCTGACCTCACTGAGCCAGGAGCTGATAGAGGAGCTGTGACCGCTGCCGGCCCAGGCCGCCCCCTCCAGGGGACCCCCGTCAGGGGCCTGCGAGGTATAGGCGTCAAACTCATCGTTGATGCTGCTGATGATGCTGACTGGCCGGGACCCTGAGGCCAGGGCCTGGAGGGAGCAGTCGCTGCCGAAGCTAGCCAAGCTAGAGGGTCGCCCCGCTCCGGAGAGGCCCCCCAGAGACAGCTCCTCCACCACCGTGAACACCAGCTCATCCTCGCCGTTCAGCTCCACGGGCCGCTGCAGGGTCACCGTGGTGGTGAGCAGGCCCTGCTCTGGACGGCGACTGCTGGCAGCCAGGTGGGGGCAGGTGGACCCAGGAAGCATCGGGGACCTGGCCGCCTGCCCACTCATGCCCACAGGAGGGGTCCGTGCCACCCCATCAGCACCTCCTCCCCCAGGCTCCTCTGGGGCTCTGCAGGCTTCCAGCAGCTGCGGGGGTGGGGGAGCTGGGCTGGGCAGTGGCCTCCTGCCTCCGCCCACTGTGGCCTTGTCCGGAACCAGCAGCTCAGTCCGGGTGCTGCTGTCCTCTCTCTGGTGACCCCAGACACTGGCCTTGGAAGGCAGCTCGGGAGTACCCTGGTGGGGGTCTAGGCCAGGGCTGCCTCGAGGGGTGCTGGCAGCCATTGGGGTGCCCACGGCCTTCCTGGGGGACGCAGCCTCTGGTGGCGAGGGCTTCCGGCCCCCTCGGGCGGGGCTGGCCTGAACTCTGTCAGTGCCACCCAGGGCTCCCGAGGGGCCCTCGCTGCCGTCCATGCATTCCAGCCGCTCCTGCAGCTCTGCAAAGGTGCTGCAGCGGAAGTGGTCTGCATCTCGGGGGCCCTTGGGGGTCCGGTGGCGGCTCAGGGCAGGGATGATGGGCACAGAGTCAGGTGGACCCTCGTTGTCAGTGAGCTCCCGGTCTGACAGCGCCGCCCCACCGGGCCCCACGTAGATGACCGTGTCACAGGACTGTTCACTGCTGGAGGAGTAATCAGGGTCGCCGGGCAAGCCGGGGGGCATGCGGTCGGGGTCCAGAGCCACAGTGCGCGGGTGGAAGGGCCGCAGGTGTGGTGGCCGACGGGCACGGCCTTCCTCGCAGGAGCTCTCCCCGCCAGAGGAGCTGGAGGCGTACTGCGGGAAGAAGAGCGGAGCTGCTGAGCCTGGGCTCCCCCCACCCACTCCCCCATCCCACCCCCGATCCCCTAGCCCTCTCCGGAGCACAGGCCCAGTGCTGTGGTCACTGTGATGAAAACCACAGTAGCCACCACCAACCGTGTCCCACCAAACGCTGGGAGCGGTCCTAAGTCTCAGGTGAAGAACCTAAGTCACCGTTCTTAGCAATGTCACAAGGAAAATGGTGTTAATACCCCGCATTGGGAGGAAGGAGAAACTCAAAAGGGGAGCACGGGTGCCCAGGCCAGCAGCCAGGACTCAGACCGAGGGCCGTGTAACCGCAGAGTACCCCAAACTCCACCCTCCCGCCCCAGAGAGGGGCCCCCAGAAGTCCCTGCAGAGTTGGTGCGGCTCTCCCGAGCACTCCGGGGCCTGTGCAGGGGCAGCAGGCTGGAGCGAGGCCACACGGCAGCTCTGGTTCTGCCCACTATATCCAGGGACCGCAGGCTGGGCTCCCTGCCCACCGGGGAGGGCCACATGGGCACAGCCTCATGACACCGGAACGCACAGGAGGGGATACCCAGGCTCCAGGCCACTTGCTGTCCCTCCCCCACCAGGCCAGCAGGGGCCTGCAGTGGACAGAGGGCCGGGGGGCCCTGGGATGGAGCGGGCAGAAGGTAGGGCGCACCTTGGCCTTCTTCCGGCGGAGGCGGTGGATGCGGGCAGCGAGCTGCACGGTGCTGAGCGTCTCCGCATGCTGGGCCGGCGCGTCCGACACATGAGCGATCATGGTGGTGCGGCAGCCAGCGGAGGCCAGGGACTCCTGCAGCAGCATGGTGAGCCTGTGGTCCCTGGAGGACAAGGGGGTTCAGACACCAGGGCTGCGGAGGGAGCTTCGAGGGCAGGCTGGCCGGGGGTGGCCCTGCGCCCAGTCAGGTTCCCACCCAGCTTTGGCAGCAGCCCAGCGTGGGGCCCCAGGCAGCCCACAGGGAGTGAGGCCTGTCAGGTGGCAGAGAAGCAAAGGCCCAAGGAGCCGGGGCCCAGAGCAGTGCCGGGCACACCTCACAGGAATCTGGCAGGTCACCAAGGGGCCACCCTGGCTGGCATCTGCCCAGGGCTCATACTCACCGGTAGGGCACGTGCTTGGCTCCATTGACCAGGGCCAGGATGACGCTGCCCAGGGCTGATAGGGACAGACACAAGGGACCCCCGGCGGCCTCCCCGGCCCTGCCAGGTGCCGCCTCACAGCTGCCCAGGTCGATGAGGTGCAGACGGCTGCGGCCTCCGGACACTGGAACCGCAAGGCAAACAAATGACCGCGTAGCTCAGGCGCCCGGACCCTGCTCCACAGCCCCACCCCAGACCCAAGCAGAGGACCTCAGGGGACATCCCCAGGGCCACTGGGTGACGGGCCCCTGAGCCTGGGTCTCCACTGACGCGCCTCCCACGAACACCCAGAGTGCAGGTGTGGCACCTACTTCCTCCCCGGCCGCACTTCTCCACGCGGTGCTGGTAGACGTGCAGCGTGAACAGCATGTGGGAGCTGCCACGGGTGTCCTTGCCACACCCTGCCCGGCTGGTGCTGCGGGCCGCCAGGGCCGCGTCCAGGTAGAAGGCCGCCTTCTCGGCCGTGGGTGCCCGCAGCTCGCTCTGGCTCTGAAGCTGCGGGAAAGGCAGAGGCTGCAGTGTCTTCAGCAGCTCAGGGCCGCCCGCAGCCCCGCCCCCTCCCCAAGGCGGGACAGTAGGCCGGCGCACCTGCACCCCACACATGGGGTCCTCCCTCAGGTAGACTCCCGGAGACTGGGCATCCTGGAGGCTGCTGGAGGCCACCTCAGCCAGCAGGTCCCGCAGGCTCTGGTCACGGCCGCACACCTCCACGGCCGAGACCCGGACAGAGAAGCGGGTGCCCATCCTCTCCTTGCGCTCCTCGATGAGCCGGAAGAGCCAGGAGATGGCGCAGGGCATGATGCCAAGGCTCTGGGGTGAGCTGTCCTTCCCGATCATGGTGTACGACTTGCCTGGGGACCACACGGGCGTCAGGCACCGCCACGCACCACATGCCACGTGCCACACGAGGAACACCATGTGAGGGACACCACTTGAGCAGCCCACAGAGCCCAGCCTTCCTGGGGTCCCCAGGGCCAACCTGGGGCACTGAGATCTCAGGCTACTTGGATCCATCCTAAGCCTCTGCCTTTTAGTTCTGCGGAGGTTCAGCTTCCTCTCCACAAGCTCCTCACCCCACATGCCCACCACTGCCCATGTGTAGAACCAGCCTCCTTTGCCACCAGAAGCCATCAGCAACCACTGTGACGAGGATGGGAGGGGGTGGCCAGCAGGACCCATCTAGGGTGGGGCAAGGGCGCTCACCCAGGCTCATGTGGCCAAAGGAGAAAATGCAGCCATCAGCCCCGCTGACCACCGACTGGAGCACGTCGGCCACGGTCCCCGAGCAGACTTCCGCCTGGGGGAGGCACAGAGAGTCAGGCAGGTGCCCAGGCCCAGGGGCGGCGGCCCCTTCCTCCTGCCATGTCTGTGGGCCCGAGGCTAGTCTGTGCTGGCACATGCAGGCAGTCGGCCCACAAGGAGATTGGGCTGCACCCCCAGGACCAGGGACAGATCTCCCACGTGCTCACAGAAGGCACGGAACAAACAAAAACAGGGCCCAGAACACACGCAGGATGGACCGGTCAGACACGTGCACACGCACCCGCAAAGCACAGCAGTCCCGCTGCCGGGGGCAGACCACGACACGGAGACAGACGGACATGGGGCCACGGGTGCACCGCACGGCACCAGCAGCAGCACTGGGCGCCCAGAGCCCACAGCCAAACAGCTGCTCAGAAAGCATCCTGGGAGGGCGGGCTCCGGAAAACCAGGCGTTTCCCTGCGGACTTGGCCCAGAGCCTCAGCAGGGGTGGGTGAGGACACCCAAGGAGGCTGGCCCGGGTGACGAGGGAGGCAAGCCGGCAGGCACCGCAGGCAGTGGGCCCCCCTCGAGCACTGTTCCTCTGCACTCCGCACAGAGAAGCAGGTACAGATCGGACCCAGGTGCTGAGCCAGCAGCCCGGCCCCAGGCCCCCAGGAGGATGCCTGCCCGTACCTGCTCAGAGTCCTGGGGGAACACAGCATCGAAGGCAAACATCTTGGGAACTGCAGCCGTGGCGGCTCGCCGGGGCCCTGCGCTGCCCGGGGGACCGGCGGCCGGATCGTAGAGGATCACCTGCTTCTTCCGGGGGTCCACCTTCAGGAAGGACATGGCCTCGGCCGAGCGCTGGGCCCCCTGTGCCGGCCAGATCCGCAGCATGACCTTCACCTGGGCGGAGGCGGGAAGCACCTGAGAAGCTGCCTCCGCCCAGCTGGCCGGTAATTACAGGGCAGGAGGGGCCCAGCTCGGGTGGGGACAGCAGGCCAGGCCTCACATGGGCACCCCCACTGCAGGAATGTGGACACCACGCCCCTGCTCCAGGCAGGAGCAGATCCCATATGAGGTCAGCAGAGCAAGGAGAAGGTGAGGACTGCGGAGAGGCAAGACCGGTGCACAGCCTGTGACCATCCAACAAGCGGCAGAGCGAGGGGTCGCAGGCTCCAGAGGCCTCCATGAGAAGACGGACGGATGCTCAGGTCCTGTAGGGCAGGTCAGACCAGAAGAGGGCAGGAGGGAGGAGCAAAGCCCCCAGGTCCAGCCCCTCCAGGCTGCTCTCCCAGGCTGAGCCCGAGCACTTGCAAGATAAGGGAATGAACCGCCCCAGAGAGGCGTGAGAGCCATGGAGGGGTGAGAGCCGCAGAGGGTGGTACTGCCAGGGGAGGGCTCCAGGGGCACGGCTCCTCTGACCTGGGCCAGCTGAGGGAACTGAGCCCTGGCACCCCGTGGCCTGCAGGACTAGGGTCAGCAGAAAGCAGGGGAGCCCATTCAAAGGCAAACGAGAAGGGGCAAGACAGGAAGCATCCCACCCATGGGAAGATGCAAATTCTGACACCTCGGCCTCACCTGCCCCACTTTAGGCTTAGGGAGGCTGAGGCGGGGGTGGTGGTGGGCAGGCTGAGGGTGGTGCTGGGATTCCAGCCTGACCTCCCAGGCCTCCCAGGCCAGCAGGGAACCAGGCAGCCCTCATGCTGGGCAGAAGCAACGGTGTCTCCAAAGCAAACACACAGATCTCAAACTGTGCCCCACACAGGCAGGCACGGGGCTTGGGAAGACCCTGACAGCAGCCCCAGCACCCCAAGAGGGGACAGTTGCCAGGGAGGGGCAGAACCCAGGATGCCAGAGCCCAGAGCAAGCACTGCAAACACTCCAAAACCCACGTGCAGCACGGACGCCCCGACAGGCAGATCCTGTGTGTGGATGCCGGGGCGGGGGCTCTGACCTGGCGGAGGCTGCACCCACGAGAACCTCCCTGAACCAGGGCTCCAACGAGGAGCCAGATACAGGCCCCAGTCCCTGCTGGAGGACACCACAGACCACTCTGCGCTGAAATCTCTGATTTCTCCACTATAGCGTAAATCAAATTACCCAAGACTCATTTCAGAGCCAATATTTTTCACGGATTTAATTGTAAGTGACAGATACATAACGCCGGCAAAATTGGTTTACCATGGGTAGTTCACACCAGGCGCCATCTACTCCCCCTGGGCACGGGGCACATTGATATGCAAGCCGCCGGAGCCAGGAGTGCCCGCTCTCGGGGGAGCAGCGTGAAGAAACACTTTTCTATTGTACTGCTCAGAACCTGGGCCCCATTAGGCGAGAATCGATTCTTTTATTCCCCCGACGACAAGAACAAAACTATTTCATTTCCAGACGCCACCACAAAGCAGACGAAAACGTGCACTTCCCGGTAATTTTTGGCAATTTTTTTTCCAGCGTGAACTCCTCACACTTCAAGAGCCAAATGGGTTCTGCAGATTTGAGAGAATTCCTAGTGGGAAGGAGTGGCATGGCGAGAACCAGGGTTCAGCTCTCGACGTCTGTCCGCCCTTTTCACCTGCACCATTAATCCCAGAGCAGACTCACAACCAGGAGAGGGGTGCGGGCCTCCCCGGGGAGGGCACAGAGCAGCCCACGGGAGGGACACTGGCCGTCCAGCCTGCCCCACACTGCCCTGGTCCCAGCGCAGGCCACTGTCTGCCAGGAGAGGACAGTGGGGAAATGGCAGGGTCTTTGCAGGAGAAGGCACAGCAAGTCTGTCCCCTAAATGTTCAATCATTACAAAGCCCCGCTGAATAGCTGCCTGGTAGGGAAAAAACACATTTTGCATTAAAAAAGGGCTTCCAGCTCTGGAGAGGTGGCCCAGGAGTGGGGGGTTGGGACGGGGGCGGGGGGGGGGCTGCTCGGCACCCACCCAGACGGGGATGTCTTTTTAATACCACAATGTGATGAATTATCTTAAGTAGCACATTAATGTCAGAAATTGAACGTAATCTAACTTCTTTTCTGTGACAATATTATCTTTCAGGCAGCATTTCTGACTATGTGACATTAGTGCTAATAACACCGGGGAGCGGGGGTGGGGGGGCGTGAAGGGCAGGGAGGCGGGGTGGGGAGCTGGAAGGCTGGTGGCCAAGGGCTCCATGGGGAAACACTGAGCGCTCAGGGACAGGGTGGGGGTGTGACTGCCTCGGGGAGAAGGGAGAAGCCCCACCAAGGCTGCCCCCAGGAGGAGGTGGGGCAGGAGCTGTCTCCTTAAGAAACTCGGGGCCCTGGGAACAGCAGTGGCTCAGTGCAGTGGGCTCCTAAAAGAGCTGCTGACTCCTCTGCGCACCCCCCACACAGATGGCACAAACAGGCTGAGTGCCAGGCCCAGGCCAGAGCCAGGGCCCTGATCACAGCCTGGGTGGGAACCTGGATGCTACCTGCCCTCCAGCGCCCACACCTGACCTCAGCGTCACCTGGTCTCAGCATAGTTCTGCAGCCCACAGCACCCACCTGCCCTGTCTCAAGGGGACTGTTGAGGGTGAGGAGGATCTAGATGCCCCAGCCAGCCAGGCCTGGGCCCAAAATACAGGCTGATGCCGCAGGCTCAAATCCCAGGGGACTTCGGAAAAACAGCCCGTGCCAGGTGCACACATGCAGGTCAGGAGCCCCCTCCTCCCCTGGCAGTGCTGGGCGTAGAGATGTCCAGGGAGGCAGCGACCCCCAGCCTAGCCCCCAACTCTGGCTCCACGCACCACCCCCGCCTCACCCCAGGCTCCGCCTTGCCCCAACCCCAGCTGAGCAACCACGAGTCCACAGTCCAGGTCACAGAGCTTCCCCTGCCATGGGACCTCGGATACAGAATGTGGCCTCCGGAGGATGGAGATGCCAGGTGCCCGCCAAGCCCTCCTCAGCACAAACGGAAACCAGCGCCCAGAGGGACAGGCTGTCCATTCAGACCCAGGCAGCCTCGGGGCCCTCAGGGTGGAGGCCTGAAGTCAGGGAGATCAGAAGGCTCCCGGTGGTCACACCACAGGCTCCCCTCTGGACACACCTGCAGCTCCACGGTGCCAACCGCCTGACACCCCCACCCGGACCCGCCATGGCCTCCAGGCTGGTAGGAGCTGTCAGGTCTGCCCCACAGGCCACCCCAGAGCCCCTGTGACCCACAGTGGCCCTCCCTGGGGACCCACTGCTGCCCCAGACCAGTAGCCACTGTCAATTCAGGCCAGGGCTGGCCTGGAGAGGTGGGGGGGCTCGAGTCACTGAAATGAGCGTTCCAGGGGCTACAAGTACAATGCTCACGACGCCACCAGGCGGGCAGGGAGCACAGCCGCCCAACTGCACCATGAGGGCGGGGCCAGGCACATAGTCACTGAACACCCTTCCCCACGGCCGGCCTGTTCGGAGCCTCCTGCTGGCCTGACACCTCCCAAGCTCTATCAAAACCCCAAGGTGTGGGTGCCAGGAGCCCCTCCAGGACTACACAGCTGTGAGCATCGGGCACCCTGGACCCAGTACAGCTAGGGCAGTAGGAGGGGCCTGTGGCACCCCAGGCCCAGGGACAGGGGCCTTCTGCCAAGTGGTCTCCAACATAGGCACAGCGTCCCCTCCAGATCCTGTCCCTGGGAGCTGAGCCCCTGGGAAGCATAGGCCAACTGAGTCCGGAGGCACGGAGCCTGATGGCCCATGTGGGGCACGGAGCCTGCAAGGCCTCCTCTAGGCCTGGAAGATGGCAGTGCTTTTGGGGTGCTAGAGTGGGAGGCGGTTGGCTGCAGAGCAGGCAGAGGGGAGGGAAAAAGCCGCAGGGGGCACACCACAGGTGTGGGGTCCAATCCTCACCTCCAGAGCCGTGTGACCAACTTCCCACCCTCCATGAGCATGAAGGGCCCACCACACTCCATGGGCACAAGAACCAGGCAGTGCCAGCACCCAGCACATGGCAGGGCCGCCATCTGGCCAGGGGCAGGTATTTCTCTAAGACTCGATGGGCACAGCCAGCAAGCCCCAGACCCCAGGCTCAGAGCTCCGGGGGCAGCCAGGAGGCAGCCATAAGCCAGCCTGTCCCATGAGTGATCCAGGCCCTGTACTCTCCCAGGCCGCAGTCTTCCCATCTGGAGCGCGGCACCAGAAACACCCCATAACACATCCCCCACCCACAGTGCGGGCCCACCTAGACACGGTGACTCCTGAGAGCAGAGGGTCCCCTCCTGTCCTCCAGGCCGAATCTCAGTGGAGCCTGCAAAAGGGGCTTCCCTGGATCAAACCCAGCCCTTAGTGCCTGGGAGCCCCGTGACCTGGCTGACCTCGTGCTGAACCTAGCACATGCTCCGGGGCCCCCAGGACACGCCACTCCCCACCCGTCCCCGCAGTCCCAGCCCAGCACAGGCCCCCCAGCTCCCTGCTGCCACCTGGGCCTCAGTCTCCCCATGGCACCCCACTGACCACCCTTATCCAACGCAGAGAAGGAAGTGGAGGCCTCTCCACTCCTGTACCCCTCCCGCGACTTCTCAGGTGTCCCTGGCCTCCCCACCCAGGGCCCCGACCTTGGGTTGCATCTACCTTCCCAATGCTGCCGGGGTTGTCCTTGGTTTTGGAGGTGGCCCTGAGCAGGCAGGGGGGTGCTGGGGGCGGCCACAGCTGCAGGACCCCGCTGAAGTCGGTGGGGTAGGTAGAGGCGCCGCGGGAGGCTGGAGGCGGTGGCGGGTGGGGCTTCTTGCGCTTGGAGGCCAAGCTGAGCTTCTGCACAGCCCTGGGAGGAGAGGTGGCAGGGTCAGTGGTGGGAGATGGCAGTGTCCTGTCACCTGCCTGCGAGTCACCAGGCGGTCCCAACCTGCGACCTCATCAGCCACCATCCCAGGAAGCACAGCCTGAAACGTGGCTGTGAGGCCCACGCTCCACTTTTGCAAGTGGACAGTCCAGGCGGCGGCCTCCATGGTGTCTGCGCCCCGGGGGCTCCATCCAGCATTTGAACCGGGCTTGCGGCAGAGGGTCCAGGCCGGTGACAGGGGTCCAGACCAACACAGGTCGGGCCCTCCCTGCACTCTGCACCGAATGCCACCCCCACAACCAGGCCCGTGCCCTCATCCCCCACCCGCAGTGGGGGCTGGACAGTGAATGCTGCTCCTGCCTGCCCAGGCTGTGGGCAGCCATGCACAGCTGTGATCTGGGCACATCCACCTAGCTTGCCTGTGCCTCAGTTTCCACATCTCCAAAGCGGGATGAGGTGACAATGGAGGCCTGGGTGTTGCCCTAACGAACAGATGCACTCAAGGTACCCAGCACAGTGCCCACATACAGGAGGGGCTCAATTAATGCTGCTGTCAAGGTTACTATCCCCTAGTCCCCAGTGAGGCAGCCTTGCCCCTTGCGATACTCCGTGGCCCTAGAGCCATCCGGGAGCCACTGCCCCACTCCAGGGCCCCCGTGGCCCCTGCCACCCTTGCCACTCAGGGCTGCTGGGAAGTGCCCCCACTGTCACCCTGCTCCTCAGCCAGGCTGAGTGCCTCCCGACCCCGCAGCCTACCCTGAAGCTCAGCCTTGCCCCAGCACCTCCAAGGGCGGGGGATTCCTGCACCCACAGCACCCCCAGGGAACTCCAGAAGATACAGAGTCTCCTGAAGCTCCAGACCACAGGACCTCCCAGGTAGAGGCTGACACCTGGGTTTAACATACCCGCCAGGGGAGGCCAAGGCAGGCTTGGGAGCCACTGGGGTGGACTCCCATGGACCTCGGCATGCACACACATACAGAGACACACACAGACACACAGAAACACATGCACACATACAGAAACACACAGAAACACACACATGCATACAGAAACAGAAACACACGCACGCATACAGAACCACACACAGACAGAAACACACACACGCATGCAGAACACAGATAGAAACACACACACGCATACAGAAACACAGATAGAAACACATGCACGTATACAGAAACAGAGACACAGACACATAGACAACACACGCATGCACACAGAAACACACAGAGACAGACACACAGAAATACACACATACAGAAACACAGAGACACACAGACACACACGGAGACATAAAAACACACACATGCATACAGAAACAGAGACACACAGAAACACACGCATGCATACAGAAACAGACACACACAGATACAGAGACACACACGTGCATACAGAAACACAGACACACA